ATGTTACACTAGATTCTTTCACCGTTGGATTTTATATATTTACACAAGTTTACAAGGTGTGAGTTGATCCAACAGCATAATAACCACAAGGAATTTAGTTATTTGCCTGTTTTTGGATATTTTGGTGTGTAGCAGCCAAACAATTAATAAACCTTTGTGGAAGTATTTTTGGGTTTTGAAGTTAAAAAATGGCAAATCTTTCAATTCTTATAAATTTGCATATATCATGTTAATTCTTTTTATTGTGAATTTCTAAATCAGCACCATAATATTTTTGAATTTTTGTTGCAAATGTGTTCAAAAGAGAAGCAAATAGTTTACTGAGCACTTTATAGAAAGCAGTAGACAAAATGTGGTCCAACTACAGGAAAAAGTTGAGCATGTCATTAAGCACATTGCTGAAAGAAAATGAGACAATGTTCAATTAGTCATTTGAATGTTTTAATAAAATAATAGTTTCATACTTTTGAAAAAATGTAAAATTGAAATACAAACATGGAGCATGCCTCAAGATTCCTTAGAGGTCTATTCTAAAATTCATTTTTATTAAAGTTTGCCTCAAGGTTAGGTCTCTAATAATTCTCCCCCACCAACTATTTATTAAATGAAAACCTGTTCTTCACAATCAATTATCTATTCAATTTTTTATTTTTTTTTTCAAAATATACTTAAAACGAATCCTAGAAATTGACCCCCCAAAATACTATCATATACACCAATATAAATGTATATTGACCCAACTGTAAATAATAATAATAAAAAAAAAAGCAAAATTCACTCAAATACCCCACAATATTTTGTGCAAAGGTTCCTGGGTTTATGTAAAAGAAACATCAACTAGTTGACAAATTTAAAAATAAAAATAAAAGTGAAGCTACATAATCATAATCTGAACAATTTTCTACCTTTGATTGCGGGAAGACCTTTGTTGCCTCGCATGATCCTATCTATCCAACTTTTACTAACCTTAAACACTATTTTAATTTTGAATCTTCCATTTTCCTTCATTTATTGTAGATGGCTTACCTTTTCCCTTTAAAAATTAGGTTTTTTTTTTCCCCAAGTAATATTAGTTCTTATGAATTTGGGGTTCAAACAGTTGCTCTAATAAGTATGCATTTTATTTAATTTCAAATAACAAATCCACACAACTTTTATTTTGTTTGAACTAATATATGAGCCCAAATTTGCTTAGCACGTATGAACTCGCTAATATCCTATTTTTATATAAGTGGCATTCCAATTTCCACGTCGAACACATTATATCACTTATTAACAGTTTAATTAACTACACTCCTAACTGTAAACGCCTAATATTGTTGGTCTCTGCTGTTGATTTGGTAAGTTCAGCCCTGATATTATGCACTGCAGCAACCGCTTGTACCATGTTGATCCTCTCGTCCGGCGACTCGGCTGTGCATTTCATCGCCAATTCGAAAACGGACGATACGCACTTCTTGCGGGCCTCGAAATGCGGGCCGTCTGGTGACAGTAGGCCCGGGCCCAAGACCTCAATTGGCCCATTTTCCCGCGCAAGTGCTCGGTTTACCCACTCGTGCAAGCTCATTTCCGAGCTAAATGTGTCGTCGGTCGGCTTCTTTCCGGTGAACATCTCCAGCAACAGTATCCCGTAGCTATACACGTCCCCACTTGTCGATACCTTCCCTTCCTTCCCGTACTCTGTTCACACGACAAGACATGATTTTTATTTCGAGCCATATTTTAATTGAAGAAATTGTTGTTGAAATTTTGGAATTTGTTGAATAACATTGGAATATCCATTGGAATTTTCGTTGGAATTTCATCTCGATTCTTCTTTTTTATAAAAATACGACAATCACATATCTAACCTGGCGCCGCGTAGCCGACGGTAGCCAACGTCTCAGTCAAAATCATCGTCTCCCCATCGTCGAAAAGCTTGGAAATCCCGAAATCCGAGACGTGTGCAGTCATATCCTCGTCGAGCAAAACATTGCTCGGCTTCACGTCACAATGTACAACCGGAAACGTGTGGCCGTGGTGAAGATACTCCAAGGCCAACGCAACATCGGCCGCCACACTCAACCTCTGCTCGAGATCCAAAAACCGGCCATCGCCAACTGAATGCAGCCATTTCTCGAGGCTCCCGTTGCTCATGTACCCGAGAATCAACGCCTTGAACTCCGTGTTCGCGCAACACCCGATAACCGGGACCAAGTTCCTATGTCGTATCGTGCTCAAAATCACGCTCTCCGTGTCGAAGCTCCTCTCCCCTGCTTCACTCTGCATGTCGAAAACTTTTACGGCCACTTCCGACCCGTCGTCGAGCGACGCCTGGAAAACCGACCCAAACCCGCCCCTCCCGAGTAGATTCATCTCGCCGAACGAGTTCGTGCTGCGCTCGAGCTCGAGGTACGATATCCTCCGGTACGCGGCCTTGAGCTCGAGCTCGGCAGGTTGGGCCCGCCGCGCTCTCGATTTCTTCTTCCACCGCCGCCTCAAGAGAAGAACCGCGACTGCCGACACGATAGCCGCCGCGACGACGAACGACGGAACGACGTAACGTTTGATCGCCGTTAGAACGGTTGATCTTTTCGAGTTTCTACCGCCGCGGCAAGGCCGCACTCCGAATCTTGCCAGCCCGCAGAGCGCCGCCGAGTTGTGGGAGAACGACCGCTCGGTGAAATTACGGAAAGGCCCCTCATCCGGGATGACCCCTTCGAGATCGTTGTACGAAACGTTGAATTCCCGGAGGTCGCCGATGTTTTGCAACGACTCGGGTATCGACCCTGTAAGGCTGTTGTTAGACAGATCTAGAGCCGTCAGTCCCCTGAGGTTTTCGCCTAAAGATCGGGGGATGGGCCCTCCGAAGTTGTTATTGGCTAGGGATAGGTAATCGAGCGATCGACAATCGCCGATCGAGCTCGGGATATTGCCCGTGAGGTGGTTTGATGACAGGTCGAGGGTTCGGAGAGCCGTGAGGCTCCCGACCCGAGGCGACAGCTGTCCGTCAAACGAGTTTCGGGATAGGTCTAAGAAGCCGAGGTCCCGGATATCCCACAAGCCGGGAGGTATGGTGGAATTGAGGTCGTTCGAGTTGAAGTAGATTTCAGTTAGAGAGTCGAGCTCCCCCAAGCAATTGGGAACCGGGCCCACGAGCTCGTTGTCGTAAAGGTACAACTGCCCTAAACGGCTCAACCGGCAAATATCAATCGGGATGTGGCCACTCAGTCGATTTCCACCTACCGCAAGCGTGTAGAGCTGACTCAGTTCTCCTATTTCGGATGGTATGGATCCCGTGAGCCGGTTCCCGGTTAGCGCCATTGTTTCGAGATTTTCTAACCTACCAAACTCGGGTGGGATGGGGCCCACGATCCCACACCGCGAAGCCACGAACCGAGTAAGGGACGGGGAAAGATTCCCGACCGAGGCTGGGAGTATGCCGTTGAGTTGATTGTCGGAAATTTCGAGGACTTGGAGGTTTCGGCAGCTGGTTAGTGAGGATATGAAGGTAAGTTCTCCAGTTGTGGTTAAGTTGTTCTCCCAAAGTCGAAGGGCTCGTAGGTTTGTAAGGGTGCCGAAGTTTGGTACGGATCCGGAGAACGAGTTTCGGTTGAGCTCGAGTAGAGTGAGGGCCGAGGCATTGACGATGGAGCTCGGGATTGGGCCGGATAGCCTGTTGAGGGATAGGATAAGCTGTTGAAGGCTGGATTGTGGTGGGATAATGTCATGAGGGAGGATACCGGAGAGAAGGTTTTGTTGGAGGGATAAAATGGTCAATGTTGAAATATTGAATAGGGAAGGTGGGATTGGACCTGATAAGAAGTTATTATAGCCCGCGAGGAAATACTGAAGATTGGTCAAGTTACAGAGTTCTTGTGGTAATTCACCTGGCAACAATGTCAATTTATGTTCAAATTATTGTACCAAATTGCAATCTCGAAAAATTAGTGGACAAAAATAGGAACGAAGAAATCTTTATGGATCAAACTTCAACACGTACCACTGAAACTATTAGAATTAAGTACCAGCGTACTCAAGGAAGTGAGATTTCCAAGTTGGTTTGGTATTCTACCTGATCAAATTTATTCAATGATGGCATGAATTAGACAAAGTAATTTTATATGATTATATATAGGATAAAATAACTTTCCAACCATATATAGAGATGACTTTGAGGTTCATAAAATCAAGTTGATGAATTGTACCTGTCAAAATGTTAGAGTCAAGGTACAACTGTTGAAGCGCTAGAAGATTGTACGAGGCTTCAGTTGGGAAGCTCCCAGACAGACTGTTGGAGCTGAGGTTTAGGGTTACTAATGAAGAAATATTGAAGATAAAAGATGGGAGATTTCCTGTAATTTAAGACATGCAGGAAAAAAACAAGAGAAATTAAGGAAAGGTACTTTAGAAATTTAGCATCAAATATCAAATTTGGGAAAAATTCGAGATGAAAGAGTGTACATGCATTCACAGGTAGAATCGAATCTTCTAACTTTTAAGACTAGATTATCATGCACTAACTTCTTGGTAATAGAACTTGTTACTTCAATTTTTCTTTTTCACAAACTAATTGACCTTTTTAATGTGGATCTATAATTGAGTGATTTAACTTTATTTCAATCAAATATAAATCGAGAGAATTATGGAGTTCATCTACAATTTTCAAAGTTATTTTTTTTTTTTGAATCCCAATTATACTAACTTTTATTGTTGATGGAACGATATATTTGTGATGTATTTT